GTGGTGGCAGATGACAGAACAAGGAGCAATGGTCTCAAGTTGCAGTGGGGGAGGTCTAGGTTGGATATTAGGAAACACTATTTCACTAGGAGGGTGGTGAAGCACTGGAATGCGTTACCTAGGGAGGTGGTGGAATCTCCTTCCTTAGAAGTTTTTAAGGCCCGGCTTGACAAAGCCCTGGCTGGGATGATTTAGTTGGGAATTGGTCCTGATTTGAGCAGGGGGTTGGACTCGATGACCTCCTGAGGTCCCTTCCAACCCTGATAGTCTATGATTCTTTGCTGTCCATCTTCATTTTTTCTCCAATGGACTGTCTGGCCCTGGGATATCATAGAAGAAGTCTATTCCATCAACATCCTGTTCAAAATACGACAAATCGATAGAATCCCTAAAGCTGATGGTCGAAATGAAGCCCATTATTAGCAGACTCTATAGGAAATTGGCCCTAATGAAGACCATTTTCTAACTTTGTGCCCCACATACCTTTTGAGAATTCAGAACTCCCCCCTTTCTAGTGCATTGGAACTTTCCGTGGGCTAGACTGAGGTCAGCGCCTTCTTCTTTCCACCAGAGCAGCACAAAACAACTGGGCTGGTGAACTTGCCCTCTCAGAGCAAAATGTGTGTAAAGGGCCAGATTCTGTTCTGAGTTACACTGCTGTAAATCCAGAGTATTGACACCAGCAACAGTGGAGTGAGTTGTACCATTGTAAAGCCAAAGTAGCTGAAGTCGTTGGTGTTACTCTGGATTCTATTCAGTGTAATTGAGAAAAAAATGTGGGCCAGTACTGCTTTGGTAAATGGAACCCTAGCCCCCTAACTTCAGAAGTACTAAGCTGGAATGGGGAGTATCTTTGTGTCCTGATTCACTGTCTTTCTCCCCTCTGGGAGTTTAATCTTTATGACTAGTTCACCTGTTTTGCCACACACATCACAGACAGAGTGATCCGCTATTGTTCTAACCTGCAAACACCCAGCCCCTGTCTCCGAACTTTGTTGCTATTTCACACTTGTGCTCTTCTCCAGAAAGAGTAAAACTCCGCACAGACAGAAACAATTCTATATATTAGGAGACTTAGCAGTGGGTCGGGTTGTGGGTGCTGAGCAACATTTGGACCTCTTTCACCTACTGCAAGTACCTCCCCCACCTTGTCTCTTTTATGAAATTAGGTATACAGCTAAAATGATTGAAGTGTTATTAATGGTTCCCAATCCTGCTGGAAAGACATAACAAGTGGGGTTCCGCAGGGGTCTGTTTTGGGACCGGCTCTGTTCAATATCTTCATTAACGACTTAGATATTGGAAAGAAAGTACGCTTATTAAGTTTGCGGATGATACCAAACTGGGAGAGATTGCAACTGCTTTGGAGGACAGGGTCATAATTCAAAATGATCTGGACAAATTGGAGAAATGGTCTGAGTTAAACAGGATGAAGTTTAACAAAGACAAATGCAAAGTGCTCCACTTAGGAAGGAAAAATCAGTTTCACACATACAGAATGGGAAGAGACGGTCTAGGAAGGAGTACGGCAGAAAGAGATCTAGGGGTTATAGTGGACCACAAGCTAAATATGAGTAAAGAGTGTGATGCTGTTGCAAAAAAAGCAAACATGATTCTGGGATGTATTAACAGGTGTGTTGTGAGCAAGACACGAGAAGTCATTCTTCCGCTCTACTCTGCTCTGGTTAGGCCTCAGCTGGAGTATTGTGTCCAGTTCTGGGCACCGCATTTCAAGAAAGATGTGGAGAAATTGGAGAGGGTCCAGAGAAGAGCAACAAGAATGATTAAAGGTCTTGAGAACATGACCTATGAAGGAAGGCTGAAAGAATTGGGTTTGTTTAGTTTGGAAAAGAGAAGACTGAGAGGGGACATGATAGCAGTTTTCAGGTATCTAAAAGGGTGTCATAAGGAGGAGGGAGAAAACTTGTTCACCTTAGCCTCTGAGGATAGAACAAGAAGCAATGGGCTTAAACTGCAGCAAGGGAGGTCTAGGTTGGACATTAGGAAAAAGTTCCTAACTGTCAGGGTGGTTAAACACTGGAATAAATTGCCTAGGGAGGTTGTGGAATCTCCATCTCTGGAGATATTTAAGAGTAGGTTAGATAAATGTCTATCCGGGATGGTCTAGACAGTATTTGGTCCTGCCATGCGGGCAGGGGACTGGACTCGATGACCTCTCGAGGTCCCTTCCAGTCCTATAATCTATGAATCTATGAATCTATGAATGGTGATAGTGGGTAACATTTTCAAAACAACCCCAGTGATTTTGGAGCCTGCATCCCCTTGACTTTCATGGGAGCTAGGCTCTTAATCAGTTGGGTGCTTGGGAAAATTTTACCAAGTGGCTGAATATGTGATTACGGTTGGAAGACTTAGAATTCACTGTCATCCTTCTTTTCCTAGGTTGCACTAGCTCCATATCAGCACTTAGAAGAAGATATGAACAGCCTGACGCAGGTTTTGGAAATGAAGAATCAGCTAATTCATCAACAGGAAAAGAGGATCATGGAACTGGAAAAGCTGGTCAGTTATCATTTTCCCCTCACAGAACAGGGAGATAGGAAGCCAGGAGCTAAATTGGAGTGGAGGAGGCCGGGACTGGAAAAACACAATGAAGGGATCACAGAGGGCTAAATACTGTTTTCTGCCCCCTGCCCTTTCCTGTGAAGTGTCCCAGTTTTTCATTCTGAAAGGGAGAGTGGGAAGGAGGTGCTTCTTTTTATCTACTTCCCCACCAGCCTCCTACCTCCCACATGACATCCCCAAAACCTCTCCATGACTCCCTGCGCTGGTCTTTCTGGTTTTCATTTTGAAATCTGCTCTGCCTGCAGGGGAGGTTAGGTAGGGGAGGAGATAGTGGAGGAGGGGGGCCTCTGTGATACCTATAACATCCCTATAACTAAGTATGGGGCACCAGCTGTCCCCTGCCTCCAAAGTCAGGAGTAGGGGCAGCCAACAAGGCGGGAGCAATATGGGTGGAAGAAGGAGACACTTGTGCCGTGTGGCTCCTTAATTCAGTAATCGGCATGAAGTCTTGCCTCAGTAGTGTAAATTAGCAAGGGGCAACCAGAAATCCCAGGTTAGGGTCACGCTGCGAGTGCTTTGAATTATAGCTCCCCACCATAAAGATAACACTGCCTCCTAGCCACTCCATTCTCTCTCTCTTTGTGTTTTGGTCTCCCCAGGTATGAACTTTTCAGTTAACCAGGAGTTACGTTTGCATTGTAAAGTGGAGCCATTTTGTGAGACTTGACCTGTAGGCTTCTAGCGCAGTGACAGGATGAGCCATTGCCACAATGGGGCAGCCGGGCTGGCTGCTTTAGCACAGCACTTAGCAAGCTTTGCTTCTATTTATGGGGAAGTTTGGGAACCCAGTTGATTGTTTTGTTGAACTGTCCAGCTGCTGGTGTGAATGGATATAGAGTGAAATAGCTCTTCACAGCTGAGACTTCGTAACTACACTCTGTAACATGCTGCTTCCTTAAGCTAGAGCAGAATGGGGAAACGGCTGATACAGTTACATTCGCTGGCCTAGGTGGTCTCCAGTCATTCTGCTTGTGCTATTTCTCAACCATGCCAGACAGTAGGATTCTACTTCCACTATGGATATGATTTATATAACCCTGTTACAGGAGGTCTCAATGTGGGGGGGTGATCCCAGCAGATGTCAGGGGATCATGACTCCCCTGTCCTTTGGGAGGGGGAAGTCGGACACTTCAGTGCCATACCAGTGTGACATGCTGGTAAATCATTTACAACCTAAAATCACATCTGCAGCCAGAATAATCTACCTTCCTTTGACAGTGATCATTAGCTGTTACTGTAAGGAAAATAGAGCTTCTTCCTAGGGATTAAAATCCAAATTCCCCTGCATCAAGTGCTGCTATTGCTGTAAACTCAACGAGCCCTCTCTTGTTGCAGGCTGAAAAAAATACAATATTGGAAGAAAAAATTCAGGTGCTGCAACAGCAGAATGAAGACATGAGAGTCCGGATTGATCAAAATACCGTTGTGACAAGGTTTGTACAGATACTTGTAAACCATCTGAGTTTTACAGGAAACAGTAAAATTACAACTATCCATGGCTAACAGCCGCTTCAGAAACAGTAAAACTAAGCATATTTCCCCTCTTGAAACTTATTTTAATTCCCATCTGCTTATTTTAGCATAAAGGAGGTTGGCTACATATCATGTTACATTAAGCTCCAGGCCTCATCACTGAGAACAAAAGTCCCAGTTGCCTCTGAGTTCAGACTCAATGCCACACTATTAGTCAGCAGCTAGTGGGTGCGGGAGAGCTACCAGTTTGAACAGTAATAAACTAACTGTGCTGGTAGCCTCACTGTACCTAAGGCTGCTTTAGCATATTATATTATATTATATTATATTATATTATATTGCACTAGAAATTTTTGTGCTAGGCGCCGTATAAACAGAGAACAAAAAGTCAATCTCTGCCCCAAAGAGCTTACAACCTAAGTGTGAGACACCAGACAACAGATGGATACAGAAAGACGGGGGAGTACAAGGAAACAGTGAGTTAATACTGATAGGCTGTGGGCTGAGCACACCAACAACCTAACCGCTATCAAGTTTTTTGTAGGCATTATGGCAAAACAAATGGTATCACATCTCAACCATTTCCAGTCTCACCAGGTTAACACTCAATGTCAATTAGATACAATTATTTTCTACAAATATTTGCAGAAAGGACGCTGCTAAGTTAAAAGAGTGTTTCTCCTTAGTGGCTGGGTTTCCTTACGGATCTTAACTTCAGGAGTCCCCTAATATATATATGAACCAAAGCTTCCTGAACTTAGCTATTTAAAAGCAAATATTCCCCATCAGCATTCATCTAGGACTGTGGTTTTCAACCTGTGGTCGCAGACTCCTGCAGGTCTGCAGACTAACTAAGATTTCCAAAGGAGTCCACACCTCGATTTGAAAATTTTTAGGGGTCCACGAATGAAAAAAGGTTGAAACCACAGATATAGGCGATAGGTTCCTACAGTCACTAATAGATGTTGTGTTTTGTTTCTTTTATATACATTTCTCAGTGTGGGGAATGTTGAGGATACTGAACTTAAGATCTACCTGGAAAGTCAACTTTAAAGCAAATCATTTTTCAGCCTTGTTACATGGGTATAGGGAGGGGTTAATATAAGAATTTTAATACAGAGACAATTAATGACATCCAGTAGTTTGTCTCCAACAGTGGTTAATGCCTGATGGTTCAGAGGAAGACATAAAACTCCCACAATTCACCCTGTTATGTATGGGGTGAAATGTCTTCTTGCCCTCAATTGGTGGTCAGGTTGAACAACATACAGGAGGAGAGCCCATATCATTTTATCTTAGCTAGTGTAACAGCAGGGATTATTCTCATTCACAGAAATGTGTAATCCTTGAAAATAATCTATGATGCTGCTTGCCTCCTTCAACAAGGGCTCTGTCCAGTCCACAGAGTAAACCTCTAAAAGGCACATAGCTTAGCCCTGCACTAGGCCAGCTCCAGAAAGCCATCTGCCAATCAAGGGGGTAACACAAGCCAAACCCTCAGCGCTGCAGTATACAGGAGTGGAGCAGCTCGGGCAGAGTGATGGGCTCATGTACTGGGCGATCTAAGATCATACAGTGAGCAGTACCCAAGCCCCCTGTTCCTCTGCCACCTTCTGGGCAGATGCAGGGAATAGGAGTGACCCCCTGCTGCTTGACCTCATTAGGAAGGAGAGAGGCAGCCCCACTCTGGGATGGGGACATGAAAAGATCTGTATATGGGGACATCTGCATAACTGCAGGGGTGGGGGTTCCTGACGCCCAATCAGATGGTGTGGTGGGGGGCTCCCACAGTGGAAGGCGGGAATCAGCGTATCATAGAATCATAGAATATCAGGGTTCGAAGGAACCTCAGGAGGTCATCTAGTCCAACCCCCTGCTCAAAGCAGGACCAATCCCCAACTAAATCATCCCAGCCAGGGCTTTGTCAAGCCTGACCTTAAAAACCTCTAAGGAAGGAGATTCCACCACCTCCCCAGGTAGCCCATTCCAGTGCTTCACCACCCTCCTAGTGAAAAAGTTTTTCCTAATATCCAACCTAAACCTCCCCCACTGCAACTTGAGACCATTACTCCTTGTTCTGACATCTGGTACCACTGAGAACAGTCTAGATCCATCCTCTTTGGAACCCTGTTTCAGGTAGTTGAAAGCAGCTATCAAATCCCCCCTTATTCTTCTCTTCTGCAGACTAAACAATCCCAGTTCCCTCAGCCTCTCCTCATAAATCATGTGCTCCAGACCCCTAATCATTTTTGTTGCCCTCTGCTGGACTCTTTCCAATTTTTCCACATCCTTCTTGTAGTGTGGGGCCCAAAACTGGACACAGTACTTCAGATGAGGCCTCACCAATGTCGAATAGAGGGGAATGATCACGTCTCTCGATCTGCTGGCAATGCCCCTACTTATACAGCCCAAAATGCCATTAGCCTTCTTGGCAACAAGGGCACACTGTTGACTCATATCCAGCTTCTCGTCCGCTGTAACTCCTAGGTCCTTTTCTGCAGCGTACAGTAGATAGTGTTAAAATAGGTGGAGACAGCGAGATAATATTTGATTCTAACCCTTTCTACATCCTCCTCCTCCTCCTCGAGAACTCCAGGGGATTTAGCAATCAGAGGAGAGGGCTGGGCTCCCAAGGAGGAAGAATGGCTTTGTGGTTAAATCGCTGGTGATCCACGTTCAGATCCCAGCTCTGCCATAGACTCCTGTGTGGTGTTGGGTAAATCACTTAACCTCTCTATGCCTCTGATTCCCATCTATAGAATGGGAATAGTAATCTTTCCTTCCCCCACTCTGTGTCTGTCCTGGCTTTCTAGACTGTGAGCTCTTCAGGGGAGTGTATCTTACCTCTGCTGATAGAGTGACTAGTACAATGGAGTCTGATCTCGGTTGGGGTCTCTAGATGCTACAAGAATAACAACAGGTCTCTTTTCCATAGCACCCATGACAAATCCTACCTGAAAGATGGAAAAGAACTGGTTGGGGCATATGTCTTCATAGGCAGCGTGTGTATCGTTAATGTGCAATCACTTTGCATCTGCTCATACGCCATCAACCTCAAATCAGCACTGATGAAGTTTGCAGATGACACAAAAATTGGAGAAGTGGTAAATAATGAAGAGGACAGGTCACTGATTCAGAACAATCTGGCTCACTCAGTAAGCGGGGTGCAAGCACACAGTATGCATTTTAATACGGCTAACTCCAAATGTATACAGCTAGGAACAAAGAATGTAGGCTATACTTACACAATGGGGGACTTTGTCCTGGAAAGCAGTGACTCTGAAAAGGATTTCTGGGTTGTGGTGGATAATCAACTCAACATGAGCTCCCAGTGTGATGCTGTGGCCAAAAGAGCTAAGGCAATCTTGGGATGCATAAACAGGGGAATCACAAGTAGGACTAGAGAGGTTATTTTACTGCTGTATTTGGCACTGGCGCGACTGCTGCTGGAATTCTGTGTCCAGTTCTGGTGCACACAGTTCAAGAAGGAAGGTGATAAATTGGAGACGGTTCAGAGAAGATCCATGAGAATGATTAAAGGATTAGAAACCATTCCTTATAGTGGTAGACTCAAGGAGTTCATCAGTCTATTTAGCCTAACAAAGGGAAGGTTAAGGGATGACTTGATTACAGTCTATAAATATCTACATCGGGAACAAATATTTAATAATGAGCTCTTCAGACTGGAAATAAAGTGTAAATTGTTAACAGTGAGAGTAATTAACCACTGGAACAATTTACCAAGGGACCTGGTGGATTCTTCATCATTGGCAATTTTTAAATCAAGATTGGATATTTTTCTAAAAGATCTGCTCTGGGAATTATTTTGGGGAGGTTCTATGGCCTGTGCCATGCAGGAGGTCAGACTTGATGATCACAGTGGACCCTCCTGGCGTTGGAATCTATGATTCTGTGAATATAATTACACAGGCAAGGCTGGCATAATGTGACCACGCACGTGTCAGGGTTGCTGGAGTGTGTGCCAGCACACAGGCAGCAGGAGTACTGTATTCTACCTAGGAGGGAAAAGCCGCCTCAGTCTCCAATGCAATGTGAAGCTTGTTTCTCCTTGTGTCTGGTTACATGACATCAGATGACACAGCACAAACTGCGATATCCTGACACAGCATGTGGGAGATTAAAACAGGCAGTGTAACAAGCTGGGGCTCTTTTCCCTATCTGCATGCTAAAGCAGGTTGTCTTCTGAGGACATGTCTGTATTGCACAGCCTATTCACGGGTGCTTGACTATGAAGGCACTTTCCTACTCAAATGTCTCTCTAAATTACCTGTAGGTTGTGCATGTAACTCACAGCCCTCCTCCCCACTGCCAGCTGCAGTGTTTATTAGTGTCACGGAAGAGAGTATGTTGGCTGACAGACTACCAAGTTGACTGTAAGACTGGATATCACCCTGTATAGCTGGCAAGCAATATTACACGTAAAAGAGATTAATATGTTCTGAGGGCCTGATTCTCCAGCTGCTGCATGCATATTTCTGCTTATGAGGGCAGTCCCATTACCTTCACTGGCTTTGAGAATCATTCATGGGAGTAAGAGCTGTAGGCTTACTCCCTAAATGTGCTCAATGAGCATCCTGCTAAACTGTTCTCAGAAAACAGGCAGGCACATACTGGTTGGTTGGTGGCCTATCTGGGCTTGCATAAAAGCTTTATGGCCCACATTGCTATGTGGGGAGGGAAAGAGGAAAGTAATACAGTCTTTTAAGAAAAATCAAAACCCCTCCCCCAAGCAAAGTGCTGACCCTGAAAAAGGAGACGTGTCAGAGACTCCATGAAGTCCCCTAAGAACTTCGCTATTGCTATGGATTTTACATGGCAGGTGCTCAAATACTACAGTGATGGGCATCAGTATAAAATCAATTCATGGGTAGTTCGATATGTCTCCTTAGAAACACCCTCCTCTCGCAGCTCAGAGCGTACATGGAAAAGTTAAAGAAGAGTTAGGTAGAAATCTCTCCAAAAACGTTCGGTTTTATATTTAATAAATTTTGTAAACATGAAGCCAAAATAATTAATGGTGTAACTGAATAGAGCATGGGCAGCACATGAACCACCTGTTTAGGGAGGCTAGCTCCGGGTCCTGCCCCGCCCCCACCAGAGCCCCAAGACCCCACCGTGGCCCCGGCTGCCCTCCCCCAGCTCTCGACTGCCCAAGCACCCCTAGCCCCAGAGTGCCGGTCGGCGCAGCCTCAGTGCCCCCAGTGCTGGGCAGTGAGGCCCCAGCATCCCCATCGCCAGATGGCGTGACCCCAGTACCCCCAGCCCCGGAGCGCCCAACGGGCGGCCCCAGCGCCCCCAGCCCCAGAGTGCCTGGCGGGGCAGCCCAAGCACCCCTAGCCCTGGAGCGCCAGGTGGTCATCCCCAGCACCGGGTGGCCCGAGCACCGGCCCCAGCTGCCCCGAATCCCCGGCCGCAGGCTGGCCTTCCCTAACCCCAACCCCAACCCTGGCCACGGAGGGAGAGTGGGAAGCAGGAGGGACCTCAGGGCAGATCATGGACAGGGCCATGCCTGGCTGTTTGGGGAGGCTCAGCCTCCCCTGGCCTGCGATACCCGACATCCATGACATTGAGCTAAGTGGCCCATTATGCTCATGATCAGTATTAGCTTGACCACCCTAGAGACTGAAAATGTCCAATTTATCCACAGAAGAGGTTCGGCATGTTAAATCCCAGTACACAGTACCCCAGCAACATGCTTTAAGCCTGACCTGAAGGGAGCATCAGTTTAGTCTTCATGATCTTTTCATCCTGGCTGCATATGCTGCGATTGCCATCGAGGATACCAAGAAGAGCCAATAGTAATTGGGGGGAGTGGTTTGTTTTGCAGTATGGACACTTGTCCACTAGGAATCAGACTAATTTTACCCGCTGTTTCATGTGGTCCTCCAAACACCCATCAGATGGCAACAACTTTGAGTCACTCCCCACCTGGACCTAATTCAAACCCCAGGGACAAAGCCTTGAAAGGCTCCATGTCCCATTATGTACCCCTGAGCCATCCAGTCCTGACCCTGTTTCTGTGATTGCTTTAAAATGTATTATTTGTTGTGTCATATGGGGAAAAGTACACAGTTCTAACTGATTTGCTTAATAACAAACTCAAGAGTGTTTGCAGTCATGCTCACATGCAGTACACATGCTGTTGTAACTGACAGTAACTAGAAGACAAAGTGCCGGGAATTTTCTTTCAAGTTGTCAGGTTGCGTTAGGTCACTGTGATCTGACTCAGCAGCATGTGATGGAAACACTGTGCCGGGAACTGCAGGTGTATTACCTGAAATATGCTGCTTGGCTTCATCAGGAGCAAACCATTGCTATGCCAGCCTGGCTCTGGTGTGAAGCTGTCACGGGGGTGACTTTAACAGCTGTGTGGGGTACTGGCCTCAGCAGCTGTCATATTTGCTTTAATGACAATCCAGCACTGTTTAGCCGTGTGAAATGTTAACGGGTGCATTATTTCCCTCTGCAGGCAGTTATCTGAGGAAAATGCTAATCTTCAAGAATACGTGGAGAAAGAAACCAAGGAAAAGAAGAGGTTAAGCAGGACTAATGAAGAGCTGCTTTGGAAGCTCCAGACAGCGGAGCCCATGAGCCCCGTTAAACTGTCTCCTACGTCTCCTACACCTATTTATCGCTGTTCATCGGGGCCTCCTACTCCCGCAAAAGTCAGCACGGTGCCAAGATGACCGCTCCACGCGGCTGCAGACGTTAACTGGGCTTTTACACATTTTTCCAATCCGCTGAATGTGATCATCCAAGAAAGTATTAACAACCATAGACACCTAGGGTTGGTTACTGCAAGCATGCTCTGTAGCTGCATAAGTGTAAGCTAGGCAGTGTACTATTATCATTCCAGTATAGAAGCTCCCGGTACTAGCACACTGATGTCTTAGAGTAGTATAACCAGTGTAGTCTGATGTGTAAACATTTTGCCATGGTTAGAGCCGAAAGAAAGAAAATACTACTACTAATGGTTCATCAAAATGAACCTTTGCTGCAGTGGTTCAGGTTAGTTACAAACAGTTCACGTTTTGAATATCTATATATGTATGTGTGTTTATATATATATGTATGTATTGTACCTATATAGGTGTATATATTGACACACACAACATATATGGAGTTGAAGATGTTCTGAATTGCATTTTTTATATTATTGGATACTCTACTAAGTGCTGATATATTTTCATGATGGTCAGCAGTTTTGTAACTTGTGCCTAAGACTTATAGCTAAATGAAATGCATTTCTGTCAAGCCTCCCAGGAATATTTCTACCCAAAATAGAAGAAAGTTACTTAGAAATAGAAGCGCCTTCCAAACTACCACCAAGTGGTACACTGTATAACGTGAACACCAGCGACATTGAGATTCTGAAATAGTACTGCCTTCAAAACAATCACCTTCATACTCAATGCCAGATAAGGTCACTCATTCCAGTCTCCAAATTTCAATTATTATTAGCATCAATATTGTGAATGGATGTAGGATAGAGACCAAAACCCGGAGGGTTTTAGCACGTTCCATACAATTTATTTGATAGAGTGACTCCATTTTACTCTCTCAAATCCTAGTTAGCCTTTTTATTGTTAACTGAACACTTTTGGAAGCACTCAGAATCTATAACAAATCCAGTCCTGAGTTATTTTATTTCAAGCCCCAGAAAGACGAAAAAAAATATTTGCTGTGACCTTGACATTTGGCCAAAAGCATTAACCCCCTAGTTGGATATTCTAAGAATTTAGATCCAGTTTGCCTCAGGGTACAGGGGATCCTGCACATACTAGACTAACGTTTGCCCTTGTTAATGGCCAGGAGAACCCCAGGGAAGATCTGTGGGGGCCACATGGATCCAACTGAGGCCAGAATTTGGTCCCTCAACATATATACCCATATATTTTGAGGCCAAACTACCTTAAACCTCCGCCTTCCAGGCAAAATGCAAATACTCTTAGGTTTCCCTGTTATATTAACCCCCTTTGCTGCACCTGTTAACCATGCATGTGTTGCAGTGGCAACTTTCCGTGCCGTGCCTGTCTAGACCAGATGGAATGTCACGCCATACTGAGTGAGCATGCTGGTTTCCCAGGGGCACAGCACCTCAAACATCAGTTAGAATGAGAAGGGGTTAACAGTATTTCATCTGGATCCTGGGTACAGGTAGGGAACTGCACAAAGCCAGGCGAGGTCCTGTTGTCTTTGATGTTCTCTAAATGTGGGTTCCAGCATTTGCATCAGATTTGTTTGGATTAGACTGTGAAAGCGTTTGATGTAGCACAGCGGCAGGTTAGGTGTGTGAGTCACCCACACAAAAGCAAAATGTTTTCTTAAAATGATGTGATGCTTTTATTTTCAATTTGTGGCAAAGACCCTGCACATTTTCCTGCCCATTCACAGAGCGCACTGTGTGCTCCAGGACCTGACCAAGTTACAGCCAGGATGTAAATACCGACAGAAAATATTCCAGGGTCATGAAGCAATGGGAAAGAGTTGTTGTCACAAGGTGTGTATACAGATAATGACTCGCATGGAAGCAGGCAGGAAGGCATTTACTCCAGCAAACCTGCGCGTTGTTTGCACTTGACATATGCTTCAGCTTTCCTTTGATGTATTCAGAATGCTCAAGCTGCAGCTTAAGTACAGCCAGCTTCGATCTAAGTGGCTTTGGCCCATCCCAAGATGTAAAAATTAGGTTAATTTTTTTTTTTTTAGAGAAATTTATTTTTGTAGCAGTTTTGCATGATATTATGGTCCTGAGTACATTGAACATCTTATTAGACTAGACCACGCCATATTTGACTAACACTCTCGAAATACATTACTAGCTTGTATGTGTTCAGCAAGTACACCCTGAAAGTAGGAGAGTTGTTGAAGAATAAAAACCACTATCACTATCATTTTGGTCACTTTCATACTGCACTTGCTAAATGCACAGGTACTCTGCAATACCTACTTCATTGTTATGTTCCAGTCTGGGGCAATGTGTTCTATTACAGTATGAGTTGTTACCATGATGTTAATCTAAATTATCCCATGTGCGACTCACTAAAACGTTATACTGTCCTGATCTGAGCTGGCTGAACCAGTCTGTTTTCCTTCATCGTTTCTCTGTTTACAGTGCTTTACTCATCCTTTTGTCAGCTAAGCGCACATGCATTGGATGCTCCTAGCAATGAATTGGGAGTTGGGGCTTTAGTGGTGGGTAGACTGGGCTGCCAGCGATCCCAACATCATTTCCATTCTCCCTGTCTTATAATAGTTACTTCCTGATGGTGTTTGTCACTGGATGCTGATGCTTCCATCCATGTGACTACAGTTGGCTGCCCGGGGCTTCTCTTCCCCATTCACCCGGTTCCCTGCGGGAGAGGGGGGAGCTGCCTGGGGCTTCCCCTCTCCCGGCCTGCTCCCTGCCAGAGCTAGGCAGCCTTGTCAATTTCACAGCTCAGCCATGTCAATTTCACAGCTCAGCCATGAAATTGACAAGGATGCCTAACTCCTGGCAGAGAGTGGTCAGGGAGGGGGCCCGCTGGGGCTTCTGACCCCGGCTGCTGGCTGGGAGCAGGGTCTGAAGCCCCCCCACCCAGCCCAGCTTCTGGCCCCGGCTCTCAGTCAGGAGCGGGGTCCAGCCACCCAGCGGAGCGGGGAGAGCTGGACTCTAGCTGCTCAGCTTTCTTGTCAATTTCAGGGCTCCTGCCGTGACATTGACGAGAGCCAACGGTAGATGTAAGGGATGCAGTGTCTGTCACCCTGATTACACCAACATTAGCCTTACGCCTCTCGTGGGAGTGGAGTTATTATGTCGGTGTAGTAGGGCACTTACATCAGTGGGAGGAAGGCTGTAGTGTAGACACTGACATTATTAGGTTGACATAAGCTGCCTTATGTTGACTTAATTGTGTAGTGTAGACCAGCCCTCAGCAGCAGTATACCACCAGTGAGCCTTTCCCTGACCAGTAGTAAGCATATCTCCCTCCAGTATTATCCATAAACCAAGCTTTCTTAAATGGCAGTGGAGAACACTGCCACTCTGTCATATAATCTTGTTTCCTGACCTAGCACCCTCCGCTTTCTCTGCCCACACTTCCACTTACAAACACTAACATCTGCTGGCATGAAGGGTTGGTAAGGGAGATGTAACTGTCTGGTGCAAGAATGGCATTGAAGTGAATGCAGTAAGAGCCAAACCTGTTTCCTTGTGCACCAGAATTCCCACTAAAATTTCAGTGAAAATCATAGGTGCACTAGGAAGCTAGTACCCAGGTCTGTAGGTTGGGGAAAAGATTTTGTTTTCGGGACCTGGACTTGTTTACTGGCTGAACTTCAGGCACCAGCACATTTGTGGCTGACTTGGCTGATCTTTCATCTACCATTGTTAGGGTGTTGGCTGAAATGACAGGAAATGTACTGGTATCTGGATAGGATTTAAAAAGCAGAAGCAGCAGGATTTTGATAATTCATCACTATCTATTCAAAGGAAAAGTCAGTGGGGGCCTATCCTCTATACCAATCCACAAGAAAAGAGCAAATTGTTAGGGGGAAATTTACACCAGTGCAAAGAAGAACCAGCTCAGAGCCCTGTAAACTCATGTAAGATGCGTGGAGGAGCTATTGGGTGAAGAGGGGACAAGGACAGTCCTGCTGTATAGGAGTTCTTTATGCACACTGAAAATGGGGGTGCCCAGAGATCTGTGACTACATGGATTCAGTGACCCTAACAACCCTATTTTAATCCTTGGGTTTAAATAGCAGCCACAATGGGGCACTGCTACAAATCCACAGGTTGCCTGTGGGCTGGGTTGGTAAAATGCATCGCCGCTAACTCCACAACACAGGCTTTTTTCAGGAGAGATGAATTTCACCCTGTTACAGCAGCATTTCCTGATGCTGTGAGTGCAGGCCTGCGAAAACACTTGGGGAGGATTATAGTTTATTGGGTGAATTTATCTATATTTTGCAGCCAATGTAAACAGCAGGATTTTCAAGCACATAACTAGGGTGCATAATATGGCCTAGACAGTAACAAAATGTGGGAATTCACTTTCAAAACAAATGTCATTGAATTATACCAAAACAGCAGCAGGCTAGCAAAGCATTGTGATTGTAGCTGGAGTTCTCACCCTGTCAGCTCATGCTCTTAACGTTGGGTAGTATGGGGCTGTTCATGCATTGGGCCTCAATACCTGAACAGTAAATGTTCCACTTACAAATAAACCCTGCTGGCTAGTGAGCGGCGAATAAGGATTGTGGGGAGAGGGACTATCTTTTACAAGGCAAGTGCTCCTGAGACTTAATTATGGAGGAACTCTATCGATTCCTCCGCTTGCTCTCCTCATTGACCCACACTGTGAGAATACAAAGTAAAAGCTGCCAAACCATTCTTTGATGTAGCCAGCCCTGTACCCACTAATCATTAGTTTCTGCATCTCTCAAAGGGCTACAGAGTGTATACTTTTCCTCCACAGCAACTATCCATAAAGACAGCTATTTAGCTACTAAAAGTGACTTTATTTTTATATTGGAAGCCGTCCAATAGAAAATGAAATAACAATTTTACAATAAAGAAACCAAAATACACACCTGAACTTCAGCGGGCTTTGTGGATGCTCGGCAATTCTGCTAATCAGGCTAGTTTAACTTAGATGCTTAAATGTGGGTTTTACGAACTTTAGGCATCCAGGTTTGAACATTT